CCTCGGTTGGCTACGTGCACGGAATGATGCCGCGGGTCTTGGTTCTCGGGTCGAGTTCAAGGGTTTTGAGGTGAAAACGGGACCGTGATTCCGAGCACAAACTGGATCGACGGGTTCCTGACTTGACGAAGCCTTCGACCTTCGACCTCGCTCATGGAAGAGGTCGAGATGAAGTTGCAGGATCGTATATCGTTGCTTCACTTGCAGTAGACCAATTCTCTTGCTCTCTTCGTTCCACTTCCTTCTTTTTTTGCCCTCGTCGATCTCTTTCTACTCTATCGATCTCTTTCGGTGAAACGCTTCGGTGTATCTTTCGTGATTCTTCGGAAAGGGAAAGTTGCGGGCTGTATTGCTTTCTTGAGTGACTACTTTGTTAGAGCGATGAATTAATGCAGAAATTGGTGGTTTTTGTGTTTTAGATCGTGGGATGATGAGTAATGTAATATTTAAATGGAGTGTAACATGAATTATGGACAAAAAAAGTTTGATGTGAATTTTATTTTTATTTTTGTATAGTATTAGTTTTGGTTATGTTACAGAAGTGTAAACATTAAAAATCTTCCATTTCTAGAACTTTAACACAAGATTCCAATATTCCAAAACCTCAAGATCCCAAAATTCTAAAATTGCCAAATACCAATATTCTAAAATCGCAAGATTCCAAGATTCCAAAATTTCCCAAAATCTCAAGATCCCAAGATTCCAAGATTCCAAGATTCAAAATTCCCTCGATCCCAAAATTCCTACATCCCGAATTCCCTAGATCCCAAACTCTCTAAGTCCCAAATTCCCTAGAACCCAAATTCTCTAGATCCCAAATTCTCTAGATTCCAAATTATCTAGATCCCAAATTCTCTAAGTCCCAAATTCCCTAGATCCCCAATTCCCTAGATCCCCCATTCCCTAGATCCCCCATTCCCTATATCCCCCATTCACTAGATCCCCCATTCCCTAGATTCCCCATTCCCTAGATCCCCCATTCCCTAGACCCCCCATCCCCTAGATCCCCCATTCCCTAGATCCCCCATTCCCTAGATCCCCCATTCACTAGATCCCCCATTCCCTAGATTCCCCATTCCCTAGATCCCCCATTCCCTATATCCCCCATTCACTAGATCCCCCATTCCCTAGATTCCCCATTCCCTAGATCCCCCATTCCCTATATCCCCCATTCACTAGATCCCCCATTCCCTAGATTCCCCATTCCCTAGATCCCCCATTCCCTATATCCCCCATTCACTAGATCCCCCATTCCCTAGATTCCCCATTCCCTAGATCCCCCATTCCCTAGATCCCAAATTTTGTAGATCCCAAATTCCCTAGGTTCCAAAATCCCAAGATCTCAAAATTCAAAAATCCCCAGATTCCAAAATCTCTAAATCCTAAAATCCCCAAATTGTGATCTTCCATTCCACAATTCTGATCATCCCACCACTATAACCCCCACCCCCAAAGTGAAATTTCCTAAAAAAAAACTGACCACTAAAAATTTCGCAACCTTCATAAATTTCTGTCGACGCATCGCAAACGTCCGCATCCGAAAGTCACGAAAATCTCCGGCGATATTCGAGATCGGAGATTTTTCAAGCTGGCGATCAAGAACGACATCGTTCGTTCTTGAAGCTGAAACCACGAAATCGAGTAGAGTGCTAATCAATAAGCGACTGTCAGGAGATTCAACGTAGTCTTGCTCGTTATCAGTGTCGTAATTGGTCGAACAACGGTATCGAGAGCACAGCCTGAGAGAAGCAAAGGACACTGGAAGGCTCGTTAATTAAAAAAAGAAGTATGGAAGAGGGATGTAAAGAGATAGGGGAAAGGAAAGGTCGTTCGCTTAATTCATTCCGCGTTTTATTAAACGGCGAAAACACAGACGCTTTGTGCCGGCTAATAATTCACATGGGTTCATTGTTCCCGCTCGTTAAGATTTTCCTTTGAGACGACCGAATCTTTTGCATCGGCTCGTCCCACCGATTTAATGGTGTCTTCGTTAAAATTGTCGCGACACCGACAACTCGTTCGATATCGTTACGAGGTTCCGGAGGATACTTATTTTTTTTCTCTCTACTTTTCGATGAATATCAAGACTTCTTTACTTAGATAGATATTTTCTTAGAATTCTGTTTTATTAGATAATTTTACAAAATTATACGAAGGTATTATGTCAGGAGGTTTTGAAAAATATTGTTACAAAGGGACATTTTTAAGATGGCGGCGGTAAATTAAGAATTTATTCAAAGAAACTCAAGTTAGCATATAATTGTATGTAATGTAATAGGAAAATATTTCTTTTAGTATAAAAAGAATCGTCCGAAATTCCGAACGTTTACCACAAAAATTGAACAAAAGATATGGCAGTTCTTAAGCTAACCTCAAAAAGTACGGTTATGAGAAATGACCCGAGTGATAGCACGTATTACAAGTTATGAGAAACGTGGAAATTTATTCCTTCAATAATTTGTATATACGTAAATATTTATGTTGTACTGCATTATTACATGACACGATTATTTATTTAATTTATACATTTATATTTTTGTATATCGTGTATGAATAAGGCATGCAAATTATTGGTATCGAGATATTAATATTCGGCCAGCACATAAATTAACATACATTTAATCATATTTATTTTATCCGTAATTTCGTATTAATATTATATAAATTATTTATATATCCACGAACTGGGTAATCATCGATTTAATATTAAAATTTTGATTATTAAATTATTTCCTCGAAGAATCTTATTTTAATCTAAAATTTCTTGGTAAAAGACACTTTTTAATTTTCTTAGTTAAATCACTACCCTTAATTGTTGTTTACAATACTAAAATATTGACATAAAATAAAAACGGAATATAAAATGTATTTTATAAAAATATATCGACAATGTATGTAATAATACAAAATTAAAAAATTGCAAGATAAATGACTGATGAAGTTAATTTCATAAATTAACTCAATGAAAATCAGAGTTCAAGAATATCGTGACTTAAAATGATGTAAAAATATAATCAAAAACGAAACTTGTATACAAACTTTCTAAGTTAACATAATCTAAAAACTGAACATAACCTAACTTGACATAACCTAAAAATTAAACTTGTAACTTGAAAATTATGTAGTCTAAGATAATTTAAAAACTTGTAACTCAGAACTAAACTTGCAGAATGACCTAAAAACTTACCTTGACCAAAGCTTAAAGTTGTAAATTAAAAATAAACTTTGTAAAATAAAGAAGTTATTCAAAGATCATTATGACCACTTTCGTATGATGAGTTTGGTTAAAGTTTCTCATTTCTTTCAATGGCAAATATAATCTCCAAAATTTCACTTGTAAGACCACAACCCACAGTTCCAATCGAATACATAGTTCCATATTGGTAAGAAGTTATTCAAAAATCATTATGACCACTTTCGTATGATGAGTTTGGTTAAAGTTTCTTATTTCTTTTAATGGTAAATATAATCCCTAAAGTTTCTCACCAGGACCAGAACCTACAGTTCCAATCGAATACATAGTTCCATATTGGTTAGTTTCTTCGAGTGCGTCAGTGTGGCAGTAAAATCAAGGTCAGAGCACGTCATCGTTCGAAAAATGTCGTGTTTCCAGCTCGTCGAGCCTCCGCCGTAATTCCCAGTGCGACGTGACTGGCAGGATAGGGGTAAAGAGAGAGAGAGTAGAAAGGGGTGGTTTGTCCTTTCCCCAGGAGACCGCAAAATCCTCGGCTCGCAAAATACAGGCTACTCGAGCGTCCCGGTTGTGGAAGCACGCCGTCCCGTAGTAGTCCTGCTTGAGAATCGTAAGCGGAGAGAGAAAGAGAGAGAGGGAGGGAGAAAACGTTGCAACGTCTTCGAGCGCACGTGCTACTAGCAAAGAGCAAGTTTCTTTCGTTAAAGGGGCGGCATGGCGCGTTGGCGTAGCAGAGGGTGTATCCACGGCCGATAATCCCTCTGGTGTTTTTCTTTTCCGTTCCCCGACCACGACCCACTTATCCCGGCATCGTAGAAGACCTCCAACCCTCTCTACGGCCCGTTTTATCGGGTGTCGCCGCGGGTTATCGTCGTGGTTGCTGCCACGGAGGGTGAAAAAGGGGTTGAGCTGCCGTGCTGAAGCGGAGCTGGTAGTGTGAGGTTGCTACCACCTGTTGGCAGGACAACGTCTTAGCCCCACGCCACTTCACCTCATCCTCCTTACCAGACACTCTCGTTTCCTTCTTCTTCTTCTTTTTTTTCCGCCTCTTCTTCTTCCACCCTTTGGCTCGATCCGAGACGCGCCACGAGTCTCGCGGGCACATTCTTGACGGGGGATTCTCGTGGCACGAATTAATGCCACGGCCAGGGTTGAATCGTTCTGGAGGGTGAGTTGCAGTTAGCTTGAAATTTGGTATACTTCGGGGAACGAGTTTTGGTAATAGTTTTGATGGAGTTGGGGATCGGGTGACTTTCAGGGACTCGTGGGACGATGAGATTTTTAATTATGATTCAGAAGACCTCGGATAGATGACTGTAAATAGTGTACTTTGAAATTGCTTTTTGTTTGGGGTGTATTCATTTTGCAGACTGTCGCGATTTTTTAACCGGGAACGCAAAATATTTGCAGTTTTTGTTGTTTCAAGCTGTGATCCGCGATTGAATTCAATGGACTAATTAAATCGAATTAACGAGTACGCTTAATGAATCAATTAATTAAATTTATAATTTAATGAGTACACTTAATGAATTAATTAATGAGTAAATTTAATGAATTACATTCATGAATTAATTAATGAAATTAATGGACGAGTATTATACCTAATATTACCTAATAATAAGCAGTTTAATATTATATTGCGTTAACCTACATACGCAATCATGTGGTTTTGCATTAATAATAAAATTACAGTTATACTGTACTACTAATTTATATTCTAGAACTAATAATTGCTTTCAACAAATTATTTTCTCAGAATTCATATTAAATGGTTCATTTTTTAATTATGAAATCTTGTTCTGTTTAGGTGCTGAATCCACCTTTGTCTCCCATGTGCAAGCATGAAAGAATATTTCGTCAGCTGCATGTGACTTAGACTTGGGGTATAAGGATTCCAGGAATTCTTGCAGCAAAACAACCTAATATTGGTAAGTTAATAATAAGTTTAATTATTAAGGTTCAGATCGTGGACATTTATTTTATAAGTCGACAATGACTGGAAATAAGAGTATCTCTTTCAGAATAGACTCTTGTTATATTGCCATCTGCAAATTGACTTTAAACCATCAAGGTTTAGCTCGTGAAAATTTATTTTATACGTAGACAGTGTATGTGCTTGGAAATCAGCTTCAGAGTAGACTCTCGTTATATTGCCATTTATAAATTGACTTTGAACCATCAAGGTTTAACTCGTGAAAATTTATTTTATACGTAGACAGTGTACATGCTTGGAGATCAGCTTCAGAGTAGACTCTCGTTATATTGCCATTTATAAATTGACTTTGAACCATCAAGGTTTAACTCGTGAAAATTTATTTTATACGTAGACAGTGTACATGCTTGGAGATCAGCTTCAGAGTAGACTCTTATTACATTGCCATCCACAAATCTATGGACCTATATGAACCTATACGAACTCTCACATGCTGACACCCCCAAAACTGATACAGTGAACCATCCTAGTAATGACTTTTACTAACAAGAGTAACATAAATTTTGCCAACAAAAATAAGATAATTTTGCCTAACAAAAATATTCACTACCAAAGTATTATACAAAAAATTATCGAGCTAATTCGAGAGCAGGGTTTATCCCTCTCATGATCGAATTACACCGTGTCTAATTGAGAGCCGAGTATTTAGCATAGTGGAGAACCTTGATACTCCATCAAGATCTATCAACCTGTTCGCTATTCTGTGTTTCGTAGCGTAGAAATACGGCTATGGGGGTGGTGGTATGGGGTGCGAGATGCGCTGGCCCGCTATGAGGTCCGGTAATGATACCACTCGCTTCTCCACCGTTAGTATTTGACATCACGACACGGTAATGCTCCTGTGCATCCTGCTTCGCAAATGGATCTTGACGAGACCAGAACGAGCCATGTTGTCTGATAAACGTTAGATATGACTATTTACCGTCCAGCCTTTTCATCGAGAACACTGGCGTCGCGTTAAATGAGGGTGTATCCTAAACATCCTCGAGACCATTGATACTCTTTCCGTGAATTTTTTAGAGGTGTCTCAAGAAAAATTAATATTTACTTCGATTAATTGTGCTAATGCATTTTTTCTGTTAATTGTAATTGTTTGATTTAATTAGTTTGATTAATTTGATCAGTTTGATTAGTTTGATTAAATTGATTAGTTTGATCAATGTAATGAAGGTGATTAATATTACTGTTCTCATTACTTTGATTCATTTGGTTACGTTAATTAATTGAATTAGTTTGATTAATTTAATTAATTTGATCACTTTGATTAATTTGATTCGTTTGATCACTTTGATTAATTTGATTCGTTTGATTATTTTAATTAGCTTGGTTAATATTCCCTTGCTCTCATTCATTTGATTACGTTATTTTGATTGATTTGATAAATTTGATTAGTTTGATTAAGTTGATTTATTTGATTAATTTCATTTATTTGATTTATTTGATTAATTTGATTAGTTCGATTATTTTACCTAGTTTGATTAATTTGATTAGTTTGATTAACACGACTACCTCCATTACTTAAATTAGTTTGATTACTATGCTCCATGTATCAAACACATGTTTGCAATATGTATACATGAAAATATTGATCCCAAGCACTTAACGAAACATTTTTGCAGTCAATTGATATTTTAAGTGTCCATTTTTGTAATTTTTTCGTTTAATATCCATATTTAATGTGTACATTTTAAAAAGTAAAAGGGTGATCTGGCAAATACACGTACTAGAAATAAAAGACACTGATATTTAGCCGATGCATTTACATAAATATGTACATTCACTATAAAGTTTGTATGATGCAGAGGACATGCACGTTTTGATGTATCCATTAATATTATACTAATTAATATTAATTAGTGAATTTGTGTATGAATAGTTAATACGTGAAGTTGTATATGAATGTATGAGATTATTTATGAATTTATGTATGAACACTTTTAGTTAATGTATATTCTGTTCAAATTACTATTTTATTAAATTGACGTATGCAATTACTACATACACATGTGTCTACACACCCATCAATTAATCAATTGATTTATTTCCTGGTTTTCGACAAAGTGGACCTTTTTCACAAATATTCCAAAATATGGACTGTTTTCATCCAAAGAAATTCATCGTTACAAATAATAATCGTGTCGTATCGATAAATAATTTCGATGGCAATAAATCTTTTTCCTCGTCAATCCTAGTAATCAGAATAACACAAAGTGCAATTCCTTGTAGATCTCCGTAAATACTTGACGTATCTATTTATACTAAAAGTTAGCAACCTTCGAACTATTTCTAACCAACGAAATTGTCGGAACGCGGAAGCATTCTAGATGAATCATCATGTCCATCAAACTCGAACTCACGATGCAACTCCATCAAACTGTCAGGCTAAATGCTAAAACGATGCGAAAATAACAGATACATATATCAATGTACTGAATTCATTCATCAGGAAACGGTTTTACCTTCGGTAAACTTAATCTATCGTTTCTGTTCTCTGTATCGAAACTTCAACTGGAACCAATCGAGATGGCTGCTTTCCATATTAAATATTGTATCATTTTATTATTGTACTTTTATTCATTTTTATTCATTTTATTTTTGTTGAAGTAAAGGGTGATTGTGTATATTGTTGGTATTTATTTATTTTTTTATTTTATTTGCAATTTTACAGTAGGCACCTGATGTCAGGAGGTTCAGTGTTAAATGCATGAAGTTTTTGATGATTTTTATCTAATGTATTATTTTGTCAGTCATAGTTACCTTGTCAACCATAATTGACTCATACATAGTTAACTCATCAAACTTAGTTATGTTGTCAGTTGCAGCTAACTCATCAACCACAATTAAGTCTTTTACTGCTGTTAACTCATCAACCGTAATTATCTTGACAGCCATAGTTGTCTTGTCGACCAGAACTAACTCATCAACCACAGTAAAAATGTCAACCATTAACTCACCACATCAATCTTTAATTTAGGTACCATAGTTGACTCATCAACTTTACTTATTTGGTCAACCACAATTAACTCATGAACCACAGTAAAAACGTCAACCATTAACTCACCACATCAATCATTAATCCACAGTTAACTCATCAACTTCAGTCAACCTGTAAGCCAACTCATCCACAGTTAATTAGTAAACTACAATGAACTCATCAACCACAGTTAACTCAGCATCTTCAGTTATCCTGTCAGCCATAGTTGCCTCGTCACCCATAACTAACTCATTAACCCCATCAAACCAACCCATTAACTCACCACATCATTAATCCACATTTAACTCATCAACCTTGACCTGCCACCCACAGTTAACTCCCAAATCCTCAAATCTCTACACCCCCAAATTCTCAAGGTTCCAAATTTTTATGTTACCAAATCTCTGCATCCCCCAAATTTTCAAGCTTCCAAATTTCCACGTCCCCTAATTCTCAAGCTTCAAAATTTCCACGTCCCCAAATTCTCAAGCTTCCAAATTCCCACGTCCCCAAATTCTCAAGCTTCCAAATTCCCACGTCCCCAAATTCTCAAGCTTCCAAATTCCCACGTCCCCAAATTCTCAAGCTTCCAAATTCCCACGTCCCCAAATTCTCAAGCTTCCAAATTCCCACGTCCCCAAATTCTCAAGCTTCCAAATTCCCACGTCCCCAAATTCTCAAGCTTCCAAATTCCCACGTCCCCAAATTCTCAAGCTTCCAAATTCCCACGTCCCCAACCAAATTTCCACGTCCC